CCCCCAAAACCCCAAAACCCCATAAAGAAAATGCTAATGGAAATATAAGATAACTAAACATTAATACAAATTTCTTAGAATATCTCATTATAAATATATGATCAACCAGTTTAAGGAATCAAACTTTATACCAAATTATAGAAATAGCACTCCTAAAAACACAACATCTCATAATTAAAAGATTTAGCAATAGTTGATCACATTCCTAATATAATTCTAAAAAATCTACCTAAAGCAGCAAAAAACCCATCCCTCTCTCTACCTCTGTTAATTTCCTATAATTCAAGATTTTGGAACTCAGGTAATTGCTATCTTTGCTGATATTATTAACGATTTTCAATAGGAATTTTAGAATAAACTTACTTTATTTCATTTATAACTTGATCATAATCAGGGTTAATAGAATGTTAAATATCAATGTCATTTTCTCTAATATTTTCAAGCTTTTTGATTAATTATCCTGCTTTCTAGCAAATTTTTTATCTAAATCGACTTAAATCAAAGTTATTCTTTGCATCAATAATTGCAGTTTTTTACTCCTAATCTAATTGCACATAGAATCCATTATTTTCCCATTCAATGCCACTAGGCTCCTTGATTAATATCATGGAATATAGTACAGATATCAACTCATCAATTTACATTGCATATGCACCAGCATTTACAAATTTTGAAGCTGTAAATGAAGATTCAATATTGATTCTTCCTTCTTTTGTTGCTGTCAAATTTGGGTTGAATTTATTTGTTGTTCCAAAATCAATAAAGAAAACTTTACCCTCTCTGTTTACTCTAAAATTATCTGGCTTAATGTCCTTGTGAATATAGCCTAGCTTATGAAATTCTCTCAGCTAAATCACCATTTCTACAAACAAATCTTTTTCTTTGTCTGGATAGCTTGATAAGTACTCATAAGTGGAATACTCAATATACTGCATTATCAAAAATTGGACGGTTCCTTTGTTTCTATAATTACTTTCAATCATTCCATCGTCAATTAACTCCGGTATCTAACAAGATTAATCTTAGGGATTATTCCGTTTTTTAATTTTCAATAGCTTCTTCATCATTACTTTCTCGTATGTGTAGTCTTGAGATGATCTTTCTCTAATGAAAAATTTAACAGCATAGTACTCCTAATTGAGTTCATAGAGCATCACTTATCCAAAAGTTCCTCCTCCAATTAAACCTACTAATTTGTACTTATTTTTCAAAATTTATGGTGCAACAAAGTCTGCCATTTTAACTTGCTTTATTATCTTTAAATTAATATTTTAATTGCAGCTTCTTAAAAATATTAGATATAGTAGCTTTATGGGGTTTTGGGGTTTTGGGGTTTTGGG